ATGGCAGAGCCCATGGCGCCCTCCCTCCTCTCCTCATTCATGGAGTCAGAGACATTGGGCATCTGGAAACGCTGGACCCAGACTAAAGTCAGAGGTAGAAGGGCCCATAGTCCTGTCTGGATCCGCCAAGTCCTTCCCCTCTTATCTGACCCCTCCTGACCCTCCCGCGCAGCCACCTGGGATGAGTCCCAGGGGCCCCTCCCTGTTTCCCTGCCCATCTGCATGCCATCAACTGAGGGCTGTGACCATCTGCATACCCTCAACTGAGGGCTGTGAGAGGCATTGTCCTCTCCCACAGTGCAGGGCCACGATAGACCGGTACCAACATGGAGCAGCAGCCAGGCTTTAGGTTACATAAAAAAGGAGACAGGACAGAAGAGTGTGTATCAAACGCTGCCACTTGTGCACAGAAAGGGGGAGGAAACGCCCTCTGCGTTGGTTTGCAAATGCAGACTCGGGGACGCACAGGCCAGAGACCAGGGTGGCTGGGCGGGGCTAACCCAGGACCCCCTTCTCACATTTGAGGCCTATGACTGTATTGCATAGTGAAGTCAATAGGAAAAGTGAAATGCGACAATTTATTTGAAAATAACCATTTCTCTGCTTTCTTGTACAGGAAGCTGCGGCCAGGGTGGCAAGGCCTGGAGTCAGGTGAGATTAGGGGACACAGCAGTGAAGGAGACAGTAAACTTTGACCGGGGATGAGGCTGAGACTGCCCGGCCGGTGTGGCTCATTGGATTGTGTGCCGTCCTATGTGTACCATGAGGTCGCCGGTTTGATTCCGTCAGGGCACATGCCCAGGTTGCAGGCTTGATCCCCAGTACGGGGTGTGCAGGAGGCAGCAGATGAATATTTCTCACGATGTTTCTCTCTCCCTTCCTCTCTAAAAATCAGTAAGAACTTGCTTTTAAAAAGAGTCTGAGACAGAGGATAACAGGGCTGTGGGTGGGGAGTGGCTACAGAGGTGGCATCTGAAAGATGACCTGGAGAACAACACGGAAGGGCATGCCAGGCAAGGGCCCAGAGGCGAGAAAGGGCCTGGCTTGTTGGAGCCGAAAGATGACTGTGGGGTGACTATGCCTTCCCCTCTCACAGCCTCGGCCTCTTCCCCTAAAATGGGGCTGTGCCACCTACTCCGTGGTCTTCAGGATACAATGAGAGGATACCGGGAAGGTGTACATCCATGCCCAATAAAAAAGGAAACTAAACATTTTTGAAGTTAAAAAATGACAAGAATACCCCATCTCCAGAAAGAGCAGTTCAATAGTTCAGTTAGATTTCAAGAGTTGTGTAGTCTTGAGCTAGTCACTCACTGGGCCTGTTTCTACAAGGGCCAGTGGGAGGTCACATGAGAATAGCGAACAGCACTTTTTGGGTTGACTCATGACCAAGGACAAAGGGAAAATCACAGCCCACTGTGGAAAGGCCTCGGACCACCCCCCACAAACAGCGGCCTCCCTGCCCCTCTCACTCATCTAAGCCACACCGGCCTCCTTGCTGTTCATTAAGCACATCAAGTTCACACCTGCACCAGGCCCTTTGCACTTGCTGGCTCACTCGGTCTTGGATGCTCACCCACTTACTCATCCCACAGCCAGCTCTTCATTCAGGACTCGGGTCAAATGTCCCCTCCCAAGAGAGGCTCCTCATGTTAAGAGCTAGTGAATCCACCTTCAGAACCCCTTGGTCCTACCCTAAACCAGCAGTCGCCAACCGGTGGTCCATGGGTCACTGGTGGTCCGTGAGGTCCGAAAGGTTGGCGACCGCTGCTCCAAAATATCCCATCTTCTACTAACTTATCAGGTGATCACCTCATAAGTGTCTAATCACTATGCTTTACACCTGAAACTAACATAATAGTGATATCAACTGCAATTGAATATTTTTTTAATACATTTTTATTGATTTCAGAGAGAGGGAGAGGGAGAGATAGAAACATTAATGAGAAGAATCATTACTCGGCTGCCACTTGCACGCCCCTTACTGGGGATCATGCCTGCAACCTGGGCATGTGCCCCTGACCAGAATCCAACCCTGCAGTCCACAGGCCGATGGTCTATCCACTGAGCCAGACCAGCTAGGGCAAGAAATTATTTTTAAATTCCTGTTCGCCTCCTGTCACAGCAAATGACCTGAAGGCCAAACGCAGCCCATTCCGATTCTGTACAGCCTGTGAGCTGTGACTAACGTTTATATTTTTAAACGGATGAAATATATATATACACATACATCACACATGAAATTTCAGTGACCAGGGTGGGCCGGACAATGTGAAGTCTCGTGCTGCCCACTCAGCTCTGAGTGAGGCCTCCATCCTGGCCAGGGAGGAACTCCCTCCCTCCCACTGTTTTTCCGAGACTGACCCAGGATTTCCCTTGCTTCACATCTGGGTCAAAAACACTCAAGGCACTGGACGCGGGGCCCCCTTATCGCTGCTGTGCCCACCGCCGTGGAGATGTGTGCGGCCGCTCCCGGCCTGGCCTCTGTGTCCGGCCGTGAAAACCTGACGCGGCCATCCAGACCCAATGGAAAACTGCAGATTTGAGGACGACCAAGCCATTTTTCCAAAAGAGTTTAATTTTAAAAAGGTGAGGAGTCTGAAGAAGCTGGGGAGAAGGGGAGGAACCCAAAGGAGCATACCGTGTTGTGAGTCCACTGGCTCAGCCACAAAGAAACACCGCCGTCAAAAAAGATATTTAAGTTTAATACAAATTTTATACAAAGAAAATGTGAAAAAATACTTCCATATGCTAAAAGCAATTATGCTTCACAAATAAGGCCAGCTAGGCTATTTTTTTTGTTTGTTTTTTGATAACTGCAATTCACAAATGTTCTTTCTCTCCTGTTTCCTTCTAATACTCCCTCCTTACTTCTCCTCTAATATGGGTAACTAGCTGGAAACTGTACAGTCCGCATCCTCTTATCCACAACGAAGAGAAAGGAAACGAGACTAAAATGTACAACAAGATGGGCTGGAATGGTATCGTACAATTAAGTTCCTCATATACATACATCCCCGTCGGCTTGCTCAATGCGTTTTGTTTTACACAACAAACAGAATGGGGCCACGGCGTTCGTAGTGTAACAGACAGCATGGCGGGCGTGTCCTCTCGCACCGCCTTGGTTTCATGCTTACATAAAAACGTAAAATCCCCTCGTATAAATACTACAGACATGCTTCATCCCGGGCGCGCCCGGCCTCCCTGCGCAGAGCACAGGCCCTCTCCCCCCGCGTGTGCGTGCGTGCCGGAAGGAGCCACCGCGCACGGAGAGGTTTCTCGGTTCCGAGGACTCGAGACGCCCGGTGTCCCTCTCTCTGCGCTGCGCTGAGCGGGGCCGGTTTCTGCTTCTCGTCTGTAAACAAGGACACTGGGTTTTCCCTTTGAGGAGGAGTCACCGCGTCGGTCGCGTCCCAGAAGCGAGCTCCTGCCCGCGTCCTCTGCGTCCCCCGGGCCCGGAGAGCTCGCAGCGGATGGAGCAGCAGCGCGGAGTGGGGAGGGGCGATGGCCTGAGGGGAGGTGCCCGCGGCAGCACAGAACCTGCGCCGGAACGCACGATCCCGGTGCCGCCTCCGGACGGATGGGCCCGGCCCACCCCTTCCAACACCAGAACATCCTTTGTGTTGTTGGGTGTGTTTTTCTAATCGCTTTTCTTTTTTTCTTTTTCGTTTTTATAAGTTAAAGTCAATACAAATATAAAAAGGGGAAGGTACTCTAAGTTCAGCGACATCCACAAATTGTACATTATTTACACCTAAAGCGTGAGTTCTGTGGGGGGACGGTCCTCGGAGCTATGGGGGGGCGTGTGTAGTGTGGGACCCTCGGTGGGAGGAAGG